TTTCAGATTCAGAAGAACCATATGTATTACCAGCCTCAGAGGAGGCACCACCTGACTTTTCAGATTCAGAAGAACCATATGTATTACCAGCCTCAGAGGAGGCACCACCTGACTTTTCAGATTCAGAAGAACCATATGCTTTACCAGACTCAGAGGAGGCACCACCTGACTTTTCAGATTCAGAAAAGATATCAATTGATGCGTCAGATTCAGATGAGGTATCTGTTGGATAAGCAGCCGCTGTTGTAGCTGCGTAATACTTTACCCTTGCGGTACGCTGGCGGCAGAGGTCTGCGTACTTCCCACATGCAGACACACGGCTGCCCGCACCGCATGTAAGCCACTCGCTCTCAGCAGCGGGGCGTACACGCAGCGCACCGCCGGCCCCGCACGACACCTCCACAGCCCCACGGGATACACCACGGCCGCTGGGACTGTCATTATCAACAGCAGCAGCAGCCGCCATGGTATACCCGCAGGCACAGCACAGCACAACGGCCAACACACACATCACACGGCGCATCATCATCATCATGAGAGACAAGGGGTTTGTTTCACGTAAAAACACTGATCTAGAAAGAAAACAATCAAAAAGTAAAAAAGAAAATAAATGAAGTATCAAACATGTTAGTACATAAACATCGATTACCACTATGGAAACTCACATCGTGAGAGTAAAACCTACCAGTTAAAGAATACAATACAGCACAATAACCTTAGTAAGAGTAAAAAGAAAAAAAAAGCCCACACTCACAAATATCTCAAAAAAGGCTCAGAGACCCAGCAAAACAAACACAAAACAGATATTAACCATTAGCCCAATTTACACAATAAACACAGAAATACACCAACTATGGGTGTAAGTCTATATACGTGTATATACGCAATTATANCAAACACACAACGGATCGCATCTTCATAGCAAGAGTAATTCTTGGTTGATTTACGTCACTTTGTTAAAGGAAAATGAAACAGAGACGAAAAGTAAAGAGGATCCCATACAAAAGAAACAAGAAAAACAGATGGTAAAATAGAACACAACAAAAACAAGAGTAAACACAAAACTACACCAATACAAACAATAAAGAATCCCATAAAGAGACACCACTAAAAAAACCCGAAAAGAAAGAAGTAACGAAAAAAAATTAAAAGCACAACGAAATGCCCAACTAAACATAGAATCACAAAGAAGACTAGGAATGCTGATACCTATAAGCAATAACGAAATTATGAGTAAGGATAACTATTTTTTCGTTTCTCTCTTCGACATAGATCATCATAACACCGCTGGAGAAAGCACAACAAAAAGAACTAGCAAATCATCAAGCAAACAAACAGATATTAACCATTAGCCCAATTTACCCAGTAAACACAAAAATATACACCAATTATGGGTGTAATTCTATATGTGTATGTATATACGCAATTATAAATATAAATTCAT